TCTTCATCATTGGTGCTTTCATTGAGAGGAGTTGATCGTGTGTTTTTCTTCTACCCCTTTCCCTTTCTTTTTCTTTTCGATTTTTCTTCGTTCCCCTATCAAAAAAAAAATAATCTCTTCTTCAAACACGAGTCCTCGAAGCAAGGAACGCAAGCAAGAGAAGAAAGATATGGCCAACAAAGAGATGAAGGACAAGATCGATAATCTCGATGTCCAATTTCGCAGTATGAGTGAAGCTATTGATACGTTAGGTGAAGGACTCGGCAATACCAAGTCCACGGTGCAAGATTTAATGGAGACCATGAACCGGCGATTTGATGAGATGGCGTGCACGGTTCTCGCTCGCCTGCCGCCACCGCGGCAACGCGATCAAGCGCGTCAGCACGAACGCGAGCGGCCCGAAGAAGAGGATCGGCGGCGCGAGGGGCATGAGCGAGAGGACGACCTCGAACGGCAATCCCAGGCGTCCACATACCACGAACGTCCGAAGGTCGACAAGCCGCGCATCACGCTGTCCACATTCACAGGCAGCTATCTGGATGCATGGCTCCACAGGGCAGTACAATATTTTGAGCATAATGAAACCAACGGTCCCGATCGCGTGAGGTATGCAGCCTATTATCTTGATGGTGAGGCCAACGTATGGTGGCAATGGCTCACAAGGATCTACCGAAAGCGGCAGCAAATTATTACTTGGGATGTTTTTGAGAGAGAGTTGCTTACGCGATTTGGTACAACTGATTATCATAATTACAATGAGGCTCTTACGCGCATACGACAAACAGGCAGTCTACGTGAATACAGCAGGGAGTTCGAACGATTAGCTTGCCGCGTGCGCGACTGGCCGGAAGAGGCATTAGTTGGCGCGTTTATTGACGGGTTGAAATTTGACCTGGCTGCTGAAGTTCGACTCGAGAGGCCCGACACCATGCATGACGCGATGGAAGTGGCACGACGACGAGAAGATCACCTCTTCGCTACGCGAAGGGGACGAGCGGATGTGCGATTCACGGACGCACGGCGCACGGGGTCAAACCAAGCCACGGTTGGCACACGGCCAAACGCCAGCAATCGGCCAGCAGGGACGATAGTAAGGCGGCTGACCCCCGAGGAGGTTAAATGCCGACGTGAGAAGGGTCTGTGTTTTAAGTGCGAGGAGAAGTTCACCCCAGGGCATCAGTGCAAGCAAGTCTTTGTAATTGAGGTGGCCAACCCGGAAGATGAGGAGGTTGAGGTTGAGGAGGAATCGCATCAGGAGGACGAGATTGAGACCTTCAGTGAGGAGCCTGAAATTTCGATGCATGCGATGGCAGGGATCAGAGGGCCGAAA